GCTCTTGGGGCGCTCTTGGGGCAATCTTGGAGCGCTCCTGGGCGCTCTTGGGGCCGTCTTGGAGCTCTCTTGGGCTTCTCTTGGTGCCTTCTTGGGCCATCTTGGAGCCATCTTCAGGCCTCGGATGGCCATCGGAAGCGAAAAAGCGAGAAAGCCAAAAACGTTGATTTGCAGAGTTTTGGATGGATTTTGGCATCTTGGGAGTCTCTTGGGATCATCCTGGAAGCCTCTGGGGCGCTTCTTGGAGCCTCTTGGGGCCCCTCTTGGGGCGAGCGGGGGAGCATGCAGAAGAACAAAGGGCGGGGTGAGCCGCCATATACCCCAAGAGGGGGAGGATGTAGGAGGAGCCGTCGTCGTCGGAGTAGGAGGAGGAAGAGGAGGAGCAGGAGGAGGAGCAGGAGGAGGAGGCGGAGGAGGAGGAGGAAGATAAGGAGGAGGAGATGGAGGACTGCGAGGACGAGGAGGACGAGAAGGAGGAAAAGGAGAAGGAGGAGGAGGAGGAGGGGGAGGGGGAGGAGGGAGGAGGAAGAAAAAGAGGAGGAGGAGGAGGACAATGGCGAGCTTGGGGGCCTCTTGGGCCGTCTTTGGGGCCTCTTGGCGGTCCCGGGGGCCTCTTGCGTATCTCGGGGAGCCTCTTGTGGCCTCTTGGGGGTCTCTTGGGGGCCTCTTGGAGGCCTCTTGGGGGCCTCTTGGGGCCTCTTGGGGCCCTCTTGGGGCGCTCTTGGGGCGCTCTTGGGAGCCTTCGAGGCGCTCTTGGGGCCATCTTGGAGGAGATCTATCAAAGAAGGGGGGGTCCCCAATTAGCGCTGCCCCTCTAGAGTGCCTCGAGTCGCCTCTTGGGCTCCCCAAGAGGCCAAAATCCTTACAAAACCTATGGAAAATCAATGTTTTTTGCTTTCTCGCATTTTCGCTCTTGGAGCCTTCTTGGGCCATCTTGGGAGCCTCTTGGGGCCTCTTGGGGGTCTCTTGGGAGCCTTTTGGAGGCCTCTTGGGCGCCTCTTGGCGTCTCTTGGAGCCTCTTGGGGTTCTCTTGGGGCGCTCTTGGGGCGCTCTTGGGTGCCTTCGGGGTGCTCATGGCGCCATCTTGGAGGAGATCTATCAAAGAAGGGTGGAGCTTTAATTAGCCCCGCCCCTCTAGAGTGCCTCGAGTCGCCTCTTGGGCCCCCCCCCAAGAAGCCAAAACCCGTCCAAAACCTACAGAAAATCATTGTTTTTTGCTTTCTCGCCTTTTCGCTCTTGGAGCCGTCTTGGGCCATATTGGATTCTCTTGGGGCCTCTTGGGAGTCTCTTGGGAGCCTCTTGGAGGCATCTTGGGCGCCTCTTGGGGCCCTCTTGGGGCGCTCTTGGGGCGCTCTTGGGGCGCTCTTGGGAGCCTTCGGGGCGCTCTTGGGGCCATGTTGGGAATATATATCAAAGAAGGGGGGAGCCTCAATTAGCCTCGCCCCTCTAGAGTGCCTCGGATCGCCTCTTGGGCCCCCCCAAGAGGCCAAAATCCTTCCAAAACCTAAGGAAAATCAATGTTTTGTGTTTTCTCGCCTTTTCGCTCTTGGAGCAGTCTTGGGCCATCTTGGGCGTCCCAACGCGTCGCGGAACGCCCCGTCCAGGTCAGTGGGGAGGGGTAAGGGAAGGGGTAAACCCCTCTCCGAAGGGAAAGAAGGGGGGTTGGCAGAGGAAACGCTCTAGACCACCTACGCCCTAAAGGGCTGGTGAGGAGCTCTCTCGCGGGAGCGGGGGTCTTTGATTAAATTGCGAGGGAGTCTTGATTCAATTGCGAGAAAGTCTCAAGCGAGAGCACCGTTCCTGAGTAAATTCTAGACGCTTCGCGTATCCCCACCAGCCCGTCCAGAAATGAGCCCCAGGGGAGTGGAGGTGATGAGGGAAGCGGGGGAGCATGCAGAAGAACAAAGAGCGGGTTGAGCCGCCATACGCCCCAAGAGGGGGAGGATGTAGGAGGAGTCGTCGTCGTCGGAGTAGGAGGAGGAAGACGAGGAGCAGGAGGAGGAGCAGGAGGAGGAGGGGGAGGAGGAGGAGGAGGAGGAGGAGGAGGAGGAGGAGGAGGAGGAGATGGAGGAGGGCGAGGACGAGGAGGACGAGAAGGAGGAGGAGGAGGAGGAGAAGGAGGAGGCGGAGGAGGGGGAGGGGGAGGAGGGAGGAGGGAGAAAAAGAGGAGGAGGAGGAGGACAATGGCGAGCTTGGGGGCCTCTTGGGCCGTCTTTGGGGCCTCTTGGCGGTCCCGGAGGCCTCTTGCGTATCTCGGGGAGCTTCTTGTGGCCTTTTGGGAGTCTCTTGGAGGCCTCTTGGAGGCCTCTTGGGGGCCTCTTGGGGCCTCTTGGGGCGCTCTTGGGGCGCTCTTGGGAGCTTTCGGGGCGCTCTTGGGGCCATCTTGGAGGAGATCTATCAAAGAAGGGGGGGTTGCTTATTAGCGTTGCCCCTCTAGAGTGCCTCGAATCGCCTCTTGGGCCTTCCTAGAGGCCAAATTCCGTCCAAAACCTAAGGAAAATCAATGTTTTTTGCTTTCTCGCCTTTTCGCTCTTGGAGCCGTCTTGGGCCATCTTGGGAGCATATTTAGGCCTCTTGGGGATCTCTTGGGAGCCTCTTGGGGGCATCTTGGGGGCCTCTTGGGGCCTCTTGGGGCCTTCTTGGGTTGCTCTTGGGGCGCTCTTGGGGCAATCTTGGAGCGCTCCTGGGCGCTCTTGGGGCCGTCTTGGAGCTCTCTTGGGCTTCTCTTGGTGCCTTCTTGGGCCATCTTGGAGCCATCTTCAGGCCTCGGATGGCCATCGGAAGCGAAAAAGCGAGAAAGCCAAAAACGTTGATTTGCAGAGTTTTGGATGGATTTTGGCATCTTGGGAGTCTCTTGGGATCATCCTGGAAGCCTCTGGGGCGCTTCTTGGAGCCTCTTGGGGCCCCTCTTGGGGCGAGCGGGGGAGCATGCAGAAGAACAAAGGGCGGGGTGAGCCGCCATATCCCCCAAGAGGGGGAGGATGTAGGAGGAGCCGTCGTCGTCGGAGTAGGAGGAGGAAGAGGAGGAGTAGGAGGAGGAGCGCGAGGAGGAGCAAGCGGAGGAGGAGAAGGAGGATAAGGAGGAGGATATGGAGGACTGCGAGGACGAGGAGGACGAGAAGGAGGAAAAGGAAAAGGAGGAGGAGGAGGAGGAGGAGGAGGGGGAGGGGGAGGAGGGAGGAGGAAGAAAAAGAGGAGGAGGAGGAGGACAATGGCGAGCTTGGGGGCCTCTTGGGCCGTCTTTGGGGCCTCTTGGCGGTCCCGGTGGCCTCTTGCGTATCTCGGGGAGCCTCTTGCGGCCTCTTGGGGGTCTCTTGGGGGCCTCTTAGAGGCCTCTTGGGAGCCTTTTGGGGCCTCTTGGGGCCCTCTTGGGACGCTCTTGGGGCGCTCTTGGGAGCCTTCGAGGCGCTCTTGGGGCCATCTTGGAGGAGATCTATCAAAGAAGGGGGGTCCCCAATTAGCGCTGCCCCTCTAGAGTGCCTCGAGTCGCCTCTTGGGCTCCCCAAGAGGCCAAAATCCTTACAAAACCTATGGAAAATCAATGTTTTTTGCTTTCTCGCATTTTCGCTCTTGGAGCCTTCTTGGGCCATCTTGGGAGCCTCTTGGGGCCTCTTGGGGGTCTCTTGGGAGCCTTTTGGAGGCCTCTTGGGCGCCTCTTGGCGTCTCTTGGAGCCTCTTGGGGTTCTCTTGGGGCGCTCTTGGGGCGCTCTTGGGTGCCTTCGGGGTGCTCATGGCGCCATCTTGGAGGAGATCTATCAAAGAAGGGTGGAGCTTTAATTAGCCCCGCCCCTCTAGAGTGCCTCGAGTCGCCTCTTGGGCCCCCCCCCAAGAAGCCAAAACCCGTCCAAAACCTACAGAAAATCATTGTTTTTTGCTTTCTCGCCTTTTCGCTCTTGGAGCCGTCTTGGGCCATATTGGATTCTCTTGGGGCCTCTTGGGAGTCTCTTGGGAGCCTCTTGGAGGCATCTTGGGCGCCTCTTGGGGCCCTCTTGGGGCGCTCTTGGGGCGCTCTTGGGAGCCTTCGGGGCGCTCTTGGGGCCATGTTGGGAATATATATCAAAGAAGGGGGGAGCCTCAATTAGCCTCGCCCCTCTAGAGTGCCTCGGATCGCCTCTTGGGCCCCCCCAAGAGGCCAAAATCCTTCCAAAACCTAAGGAAAATCAATGTTTTGTGCTTTCTCGCCTTTTCGCTCTTGGAGCAGTCTTGGGCCATCTTGGGCGTCCCAACGCGTCGCGGAACGCCCCGTCCAGGTCAGTGGGGAGGGGTAAGGGGAGGGGTAAACCCCTCCCCGAAGGGAAAGAAGGGGGGTTGGCAGAGGAAACGCTCTAGACCACCTACGCCCTAAAGGGCTGGTGGGATTGGGAGGAAGACACAGGCGGGAGCACCGATCCTGAGTAAAGCGTGCGGAAGTATCAGGAGCGGGGGTCCTGAGTAAATTTGGAGGAAGTCTCAGGCGGGAGCCGTTGTTGTTGTAATCCCGGAGGCCAGGGGCCCAGTTCGAGCACCAAGATTTTCCTTTTCAAAATTCAGGGTGCGAGCGTCGAGGGGCACATTTTGATTGAGAAAAAACAGCATGCACCGGCGAGGGGGGATCAACAATAATTGTTCTTCAGACATGAGAGCTCAACAAAAAACAAAAACAAAAACAACAACAACAACAACAACAACAACAACAACAACAACAACAACAGCAACAGCTACAGCTACAGCAACAGCAACAGGAACAGCAACAGCAATAGCAATAAAAGCAACAACTACATAGATATACGTGCAAAACAAAAGTGAACAAATAACAACAGCTAAAAACAACAACAACAACAACAACAACAACAACAACAACAGCAACAACAACAACAACCACGACGACGACGACGACGACGACGACGACAACAACATCAACAACAACAACAAACACACACACACACGCACGCACGCACGCACGCACGCACGCACGGGGAGTGGACATCCGATCGATGGCGAGGGAGCGGGCCGCCCGCCAGGCGAAACGCGACTGGTGTTGCGCCCACCACGGGGCGGGATGCCCCACGACCACGAGGCCGCGGGGGCGCCCCTCGCCGCGCGCGGCGCGCGAGCCTCAGTCAAGCAGTGGCGAAGCATCTTGGCTCGCGAATAGGCCCACCAAAGAATATTCTAAGAACCTTTTGTGGTTTACACGAACTGATCTTAGAACATGTCTGTCTGAGTCTGCACTGATTAAACACATCGGGTTTATGTCCTGAGAACATTGTTTTTTGCATCTAGAACATTTTTGAGTTCTAAAAACATTGCTTGGTAGGCCTGTAGGAATTTCGGGGCGGTCGGTCCCTGCTGAATTCAGAGGAGGAAAAGGTGCGGATATCTTCGCTTCCATCGTCGCCACGGCTGGATTCGCCTCGAAATTCTATTCAGAACGCACCTGTGGGAGATGGCCGTGGAGTAGCGGCATCGTTAAGTCGGGCCTGTCCCTCTACAGGAGGATTTTTTTTTTAAATAGTTTTGGAAAATGTCTGGTGATGATTGTTTGATTATCGCTTGACATTGTTTAATTTGTTTTTACCCATTTTCATTTTTTTCCTCCTAAATCCGCCTGTAGGGGGTCACACCCGACCTAACGGTATCGGCACCTCTTTGCCTCCTCAGAGCCAGCGCTCTGCCCTGGGGTTTAGAACATCGGTGGTTGCAGCGGGCGCGCACAGTGTGAGGCCCGCCTGCCAGCGGCTGCCTTCCGCGGAGATGTCTTGTTTTGGGGGCGCCACGAGGGGGGGCTGATCTCGAAGGCTTTCGGACGTTCCCGTGGGCGCTCGGAGGTCTTCCTGCCTCGGGATGGGTGGAGACCTCTGGGAGCTCACGCTGGGAAGAGGGGCGAAGTTTCGAGGTTCGAGGCTTTCTGGCGTTCGCACCGGTACCTGGCGTCTTTCGCCCTCGGGGTGCTCTCCAGTGGCGGCAGCGCCTCGCCGAGAGCGTGCTGGGCGTGCTGGAGCGTCCCCAGCGGCCGCTGGAGACCCGAGAGATGTGCCCCCCACCGCCACGTTCTTGGCATCGCTCGGACGTGTGCATTTTTCCTTCGGCGAGGACCATCGAGGAGCATCCTCGATCATTTGGCGAAAAACCCACGCACGAAGCCGAAAAAAACACAGGAAATGGACGTCCGAGCGATGGCCAGCGTTGGGATGCACTTCCTGCAGGGAGGTAAGACTATAACTTCGCCGTGGTCCGAAATATGGCTTGATCCGACTTTCAATCCGGCTTAAGCCCGCTTCAGTCCGCGCGCTCCGCGTCGTAGTTCTCCCGAGGTCTTCCGACGAGGACCTCCCAGTAGATGCCCCATGGACAACGAGGCCCTGGGCGCCTCTGCGGCGAGCAGCGCGCGCGCGATGGCGCCGTGCCCCCTTCAGCGCACCTCGAGCTGCCAACTGGGGGGCGGACCGATCTGGCGCTCGAGGTCTGGGAAAGAAGGTCGTGGCCTTGAGGTTTGCTCTTGCTTCGCATGCCAGTGGCAGGGTTTCAGCTCTCACGAGGGAGACCATCTGCCTTGGAACACCGCGCTTCAGCCAGCTCGTGGCACCTCGAGACGGCCCGGCACGTCCTGACTCAGAGGATGGGTGATTACACGCCGGTCGTTGAAAGTAGGTATGTTTTGATTCACAGATCCCAATCTACTTCAAGCGCCTTCCTACTTCAAGAATCGGCATGATTTTGCTATGTTGTGTTGTTCTCTGGGAGGGCCTGGACCCAATCCACTTTATCCGCCTTCCTACTTCATGTTTCTACATACGTCTTCCGACCGACGCGTACAGTGGGCGCGCCAGATGAGGCGTTCCACAAAGGGCTTTGCCTCCGAGGATCGAAGAGCTTGCCACCTCTTCCTCGGCGGAAGGGCGGGGGAAGTAAAGCAACGGAAGGCTGCAGGAATGCGGCGGAGGTAAAGGATGCGCCCCCCCATAGATGAAACACAGTTTTGGGGGTTCAGGGTTTCCGAAATCGCCCAGACGAGAGGCCTGCCTGCCAGCAGGCGCCTGCCACGGAGGTGTCTTGTATGTCGGGGGCGCCACGAGGTCGCCGGGAAGCAGACGGGTCGCCGATGTTTCGCCGTCCTCCTCCTCCTCCTCCCTCCTCCTCCTCCCTCCTCCTCCTCCTCCCTCCTCCTTCTCCTCCTCCTCCTCCTCCTCCTCCTCCCCCTCCTCCCTCCTCCTCCTCCTCCTCCCTCCTCCTCCTCCTCCTCCTCCTCCTCCTCCTCCTCCTCCTCCTCCTTCCCCCCCTCCTCCTCCTCCCTCCTCCTACTCCTACTCCTACTCCTACTCCTACTCCTACTCCTACTCCTACTCCTACTCCTACTCCTACTCCTACTCCTCCCCTCCTCCTCCCCGTACTGGCCCCAGGACCGTCAGAAAACGCTTGAGAACGAAAAGTTGGTCTTGGGAGGAGGCCCCTGGGTCCAGGACCTTCTTTTCCTTAGGATCCACTGTGTCGTGCCCAAACTGGGGGGGGGATTCCATGGTCCCGGGAAAGGAGCGTCGGTCCCAGAAAAGCAGCACCGTCCAGGATTCGGGCGTCCCATAACGGGGGGCGATAATGAGGGGGTGAAAGGTGTATGTTTTGTACCTCAATAGAGCCCCCTGGGGCACAAAAGGAGCACGAAAGGGGCACGAATCTGGGCCCCCAATTCATCGTCCCACATTTAAGCAACGACCAAAGGATTTATTGTCAACAGGGCGACTTCTCCCGAAGCGTGAGTTTTGACGTGTTTGACCTTTGTTGGGCCACTTGAGGGGCCCTCGTCGCCACGGCTGGATTCCCCTCCTGTCAGAAAAGCCCTCCAGGAGAGACGGGTGTCGAATCCGTCCTAATTGCCACTGCGCAGGAGGATGCTCACTATACGCCTGCTCAGATCCTGGCCAGTCCAGTCCTGCGCTGAGGATCAGCGAGCAGTCAAGACGTTGGCATGAGGATGATTATGGTCGCAGGGAAGGGGCTCTGGCTTGAGGGCCGTTCCTTAGATCCTGGTGGGGAGACCCATTCGTGGCCGACCGAGCCAACCCTTCCCTCCTTAGGCCGCGTTCTCTTGTGAAGGCCTTACGGCAAGTGCCGACGACCCTGAAGGCGGGACCTCCCTTGGGACTCCCCGTTGGCGCCTCCCTATGGGACCCGCCGGGACCCAAGGGGGGGGGGCGTAAGGGGGGGGGCGTATTTTGACCCAAGACCACTTTCCCCCACCACAGGCGGGACCTCCCCCGGAACTCCTCCGAGAAGCCCCCCCCTCATTCCAGGCCTCCCAGATGGGGTCGGAGGATCGCACCGCATCGCCGATGCATCGGCGATGCGGCTCGATGTGCAGCCCGATTTGCTTCACGTCGGCGTCGCCGATGCATCGCCGACGTTGGCGATGCATCGCTGGTGCATCGCCAGTGCATCGCCGATGCATCGCCGATGCGACGCGATCCTCCGACCCCATCGACCCCGACCCCATCTAGGAGCTCTCTGTTTACTGGGGGACACCCCCGCACTCCCTGCGTACAGGAGGGACCAGGGAGGGGAGGGGGGCCGCTGGGACCCTGGGGGGGCGGTAATCCTACCCGTCCTTCGCATCACGGTCCTTCTTTAATAACAGTAATGAAAACAATGATAACCGCATTATGTTTTACCAGAGCCAAAAAGGAAAAAAAACAAAAAGGCGACCCGCAGCCAACCAGGACCAACACGACCCCCCTCCGTCCCTATTAAAGAACCATAAGAACACACTTTGGGGCAAAAGCTTTGGTCATGCTCGTGGGCCTCGCGATCATTTCGTAATTATTGTGTTTTTACAGGGACGGGGGGGGGGCTTCACATTTCCTGCCTTGTGCAAGGCCATCACCCCTGTCAAAAACAATACTACATGCACGTCGCGGCTAGATCTGGATCATGCGCGGCCACCCCACGATCATTGTCCATTAGTGTTTGACAAGGACCGCGGGGGGGGGGGGGGGCATAGTGCCTGCTGTGTGCAGGCCCACTCGACACCATGATGGCCTCCCGCCGCGATGTTGCACTGGTTTTCAACAAGGATGGTGTGGGCCAATATGTTTCCCGATGAGTGCTGTCACTTGCGCGGCCGCACCTGGCACACTCTGCGCGTGTCCCGGACGTGGCGCACCTAGCGCAGCTGCACCATGCGGCACACGTGGCGCATCTGGCGTTTGAGGCGTGCCTGGCACGTTTGGGCCCCAGGGATGCCTTGCGCACCTGGCGCGCCTGGCACGCGTGGCGCACCACGCCCCATCGCGCACATGGGATCTGCATTGGTTCTCAGTGGCTGCCCGTTCGTAGATGATCGCTCAACATGCTGAGGCCTGGGTGCTAATTATGTGTTGGGAGGGCGTGGAAGTGAGCGAGACAGCTTGCAGGCGGGGAGGGAGTCTTGACCCCCCCCGTTCCCCCCCCTTCTCCCGTACCACCCCCACGGTCAGGGAGTGGAAACAGGGGAAGGAATCGACTCAACTACGACATTGTTGTTTCTCTGTCCGTTTCCTTTTGGCCGGGACGGGCGAGGACGACGACGACGACGACGACGACGACGACGACGACGACGACGACGACGACGACGACGACTGCGTCTCACACACGCCGAAAGGCCGGCGGATTTGGTCAGACGATGATTGTATGCGCTCTCCTGGCCAGGCCAGGAGGGCGTCTACCGAGGTTGCCCGCAGGGACGCGAAGATGATCGACAGGGCCACGCGGTCGGGGCGGAGAGCCGCCCTTCTCCAGCCGCGGCGACCGCGGGAGGGCGCGAAGAGATGGCCAGACTCCGCCCCCTCCGCTCACCACCCACCAAACCACCCCAACCCATCTCGAAGGCTTCAATTTGCCCTCCATTTCCAGTGGGGGGGGGGATCGGGGAACATCGAAAAAACACATGGTCCCCGCACCCCCCCCCAACCCGAAATTCGGGTCAAATTCGTGTCTTCGGGTTGGGTTGGGGTGGTCTGGTAGGTAGTCCTCCGCGCAGCGCGAGGCCCGAAGTGGAGCGGGCGACCTCCGGATCGGTGCAGCGGTGGCCCCGTGTCGTGCCGACGCCGCGGCGGCGGCCCCGACGCGGGCGGGCAAAAGTTTGTGAGCGCCGCCCCTGCCCAGAATCGGCCAGCATGGAACGAGTTGGCTCCGAGAGAGGAGGGAAGGAGGAGGAGGAGGAGGAGGAGGAGGAGGAGGAGGAGGAGGGGAAGGAGGAGGAGGAGGAGGAGGAGGAGGCGGAGGAGGCGGAGGAGGAGGAGAGGAGGAGGAGGGGGGAGGAGGAGAGGGGGAGGAGGAGGAGGAGGAGGAGGGGAGGAGGAGGAGAGGAGGAGGAGGGAGGGGAGGAGGGGGGGAGGAGGGGGAGGAAGAGGAGGGGGGGGGCTGGAAGGGCTTCAGAAAGGAGGGCCGGGACCCCGCCCCCGGCGATATCCCAGAGCAGCGCCGCCCCTCAGCGACTGCCCAGGATCGGCGGCGAGCGAGGGGGGGAAGTGAGAAGAAGAAGGCTTTTTTTTTCCGAAGGCGGCGGGACTTCTCAGCAGCCCTCGCACCCTCTGAGGGGTTTTGTGTTTGCGTCCTCGGGGGAGGCTTAGAAAACTTCTCAGAAGGCCGGGGAGCTTCGAGCCTCCAGAGAAGGCCCGCCCCTTCTGACTTCTCCCCCGGGCTCACCGCCAGAAGGAACGATCAAGTCGGGTGTTGCTAGAAGTGCCCCTCGCCCAATGTGCCCCCAGGATCTTCAAGGAGGTCCCCACAGCCTTCAGAGCACACCTTACGATGCCCAGAGGGCCCCAGGGGCTCCAGAATTGAGCGAAAAGCGGGGGGCACTTTGGGACAGGGGCCTTTAGCAACCCCCGATTGGAGTTGAACGATCCACGCGGCGTCAGAAGCCAAAGTCGGGGTCGTCACAACCAGAGCCTGTCGTGGCTGCGTGGTGGGTATCCTCCTGTCTGCTCTTGGCTGCGCGGAGGGTCCGGCGCAGAGACACAGAGCCAGTCAAGATGGGGCACCAGGGCATGGCCGACTTGAAGCAGCTATTATTTGAGGTCGGAGCGAGCAAGAGGACTCGGGTCCGGGAGGCCGCCGAGGGGCCCAGCCCTCCACGCCGCGCGGTGCCCCGCAGGGGCGAAGGGCGGAGGTGTCCCCGCCCAGGTCCGCGCTGCACTCGCGTGTGCCGCTGGGGGGCACGGCTGGGCGCGGCAACAGCAGGCAGGGTCAGTCGGCACGAGCGACATGGGTCCTGGCATCGCTCGGACGTGTGCGTCCTTTCCTCGGCGAGGACCATCGAGGAGCATCCTTGATCATTTGGCGAAAAAACCACGCACGAAACCGACAAAAACACAGGAAATGGACGTCCGAGCGATGGCCAGTGGGTACGGAAAGAACGGGCACACATCGAGTAGGGAATCGACTGCAGAATCGATGTACCCCAAAATTGATGTTCACGTCAAGTCATACGTACAATTTTCGTAGAGCTACGAGCATTCTTCGCATGTCTCACGGATTCGGCGAAGAAATCAATTCAGGGGTAGCTCCATTCTGTACTCGACCCCCTACTCGAACACAGACCGACGGAAAGACTGGGTACAAAGGCCGACGGCAGTTCCTGCGCATGTTGCACAGGACTCGCTGTGGGCGCGGGGTGAGCGCTGCAGCACACGGGCAGGGTGAGGCAGAGGTGGAGGTTGACGAGGCGGCATTGCTGCGGCGTGCCAGAAAGGGTCTCGCCGTCGAGCGCCGAAGGAGTTGGCGCTGCTTCCTCGGCGGAAGGCGGCGACAGCAACACGGGAGCGGCTCCTGCAGAACGCTGGCCGAAGCCGGCGGACACAAGCAGGAGAACCGGCAGTGGCATAAGCATAAAACATTGGAGGTCCGCACGGGTGTCCTGGATCGGCCCTGGGACCCCTTCCCCGGCGCGCGGAGCGCGCCAGGGGCGGCGCCGGAGGCGCCGCCAGGGGGGCCCGGCGTCGATCCCAGAGTCAAGCAGTGGCGAAGCGTCCCGGCTCGCCTATAGCCCCACCAAACAATGTTCTAAGAGCCTTTTGTGGTTCCCACGGAATGTTACAACATTTATGGCGGGGACTGTCTTGTTTTAACACATCGGGTTTATAATATAAAAACATCCTTTTTGTTCTTAGAATATTTTTAGGTTCTCAGAACATTGCGTGGTATGACTATAGGAATGCCGGGACGGTCGGCCCCTGCTCAAAAGAGATCCGCGCGGACTTCGAGTGGTCGTGTCCATGCCAGCGTGTCTTCCCCAGTGCGAGGTGTGCCCCCCCAAGAGATGGCCTGGTTCGGGGAGGTGCGGACTTCCGGAGCGGGCCGTCTAGCCTGGCATCGCTCGGACGTGTGCATTTTTTCTCGGCGAGAACCATTGAGGACGATCCTGGGCCATCGAGCAAAAAAAACACGCACGAAACTGGAAAGTGCACGGGAAATGGACGTTTGAGCGATGGCGAGCTAGTGGGTTTCAGTCCATCCCGCCAGAGCGCTTGGGCCGTGGATGGTGAGGTACACGGGAGGTCTCCTGGTGTCTCGTGGGAAGGCCTCTCGGGGGCAGCTTGGAGGCCTGGTTGGGGGCTTCTTGGGGCTCTCCTGGAGGCACGACATCAAGGAGCGGTGAGGGCAGATATCGGATGACTTGTGTGAATCGAGCAGTATGGCGAGCACCTGTGTGGCACCTCTCGGATTTGTAGTCGTCGCCGTTGGTGTGCATTCTTCGCGCCGACGGCGCAGTACCACCACCTCCAAGACAACGACGACTGCAACGACGACCACACAGACGTCGACAACCACCACAAGGACCGCCGCCACCAGCTCTACAAGATATCGCGCTGCTTCCTTTCTCCTCCTTGCATTAAGTCGGGAATGCCCCTCTACAGGAGGAATATTCAAAAATAGTAAAAAAAAAAAAAAAAAAAAAAAAAAAGTCGAGACGATGTTTCGAGTATGTTTGACTATGTTTGAGCATGCGTTCGACTATTTTTCATTTTTCTCCCAAAATCCGCCTATAGGAGGACATGCCCGACTTAGTGCCCAGTCCAGCGAGCTGCTTTTTCCGGTGGGGAGGGGCCGGGAGTTGTGCAGGCGTTGCGCAGAGTGGCGCAGGGGCTGTGCAATCTGCTTTGCTCGACCACTCTCTTCCTTCCAGCAGCATTTGGAGGTGATCAAGAGGCCGCGGCGAGTGTCCTCGCACAGGTGAGCCTTTGCTTCAAATGCTCAGGTTGCAACTCTTGGGAGGTTGAACTCAGCATCGGCCCCGGTATCTCCTCTGTCGAATTTCAGCCTCATCCGACTCAATCCCGCTTCACCAGGCCTAACGTTGAGCTTACCCCGCTCAATCGCCTCCTTATGTGGTTCAATAGCTCAGAGCGTGAATTACCTACCCCGCTTTCGCTTCCAGGCAAAACCAAGTCATACCACGCGCCTCCTCGTCAAGCGGCCTGACCAGTACAGGCCGTAGTTTGGCGTCGCTTGGTATCTCTTGGAAGCGAGGGTGATCAAAAGCGAGGTAGGTTTGTTTGCCCCCTAGGGGTTCAATAGCCATGAGCTCGCCGTTCCCGCGAAGACGTTACCCAGCTCGCTTCAGGGCGCGAGGGGGGGCGCGAGGACCCGGAGGGGGGAGGAGGAGCGGCGACACCAAAGGCAGGGGGCCACAGAGAGGAGCTACACGCTGCCTCCCCCGAGCCGAGGCCTGGAGGTGTCCCCCGCGGGACGCCGCAAGACAGGGGGATCGCGCCCCCAGGAGGATCTTGGCTCCTCTAGGGGGCCACCTGCGAACCCTACCCCTGCCCCCCACGATTTCTGAGGGGGAGGGTTGGGTTCACTTCGTTCGGGAGCTCTCGAGCGAAGTGAACCCCACCCTCCCCCTCAGAAGTCGTGGGGGGCAGGGGTAGGGTTCGCAGGTGGCCCCCTATCCTCGGGACGGTGGTGGGTGGCTCCTGGAAGCGCCAGCGTGAAGGCGCGCGGAGCAGCGGCGGGGGCCCCGCCTGCGTGCAGCACCGGCACGCCCCGTCGCCGAGCCGGGCGGCGTTGACTCCCCGGCTCGCCCCGATCCGCGGCTCAGGCGCTGCGGCGGCCGACGCGCGCCATCGCCGCCGCTACCGACCTCGCCGCCGCCGCCTCCGCCGCCGCCGCCGTCGCCGTCGTCGTCGACGACGTCGTCGTCGGCCTCCTCGTCGTCGTCAGCGTCGGCCTCGTCGTGGTGGGCCTCGTCGTCGCTGGCGCTTTCCGGAGCTTCTCTCCTCTGGGGGCGCTGCTCCAGGGAGGCTCCTCAGGCGTGCCTATGTCTCCGGAGCGGCCAGGCGACGACGACGAGGCCGACGACCACGACCACGGCCCTTGGCATCGCTCGGACGCGTGCATTTTTCCTTCGGCGAGGGCCATCGAGGAACATCCTTTACCATTTGGCGAAAAAACCGCGCACGAAACCAAAAAAGCACAAAAAATGGACGTCCGAGTGATGGCGAGCGCCACGCGCCAGATCCACGGATTCGCAGTTCATGCTCATGCTGCACCGTGCACGCGAGCTCTGGTTCGGAGTTTCTCTGCCCCCGTCGGGTGGCGGTGGTGGGGCGACTCTCGGGAGCGAGAAAAAACGCACACGGACACAGATCCGTCGATTCCCAGACAAGTATTTTGTCAAGATGGGAAGTGGAGGGGAAGGCCAGCATCCAGAGCACGTAGAAAAGATGGAGAGTCCTTGGACTTGTGTATCTGTACTTGTGTGTGTGTCCCTGGGCTCCTTCAGGGTGGCGGTGTTTGGGCGACTCTCCTCGCGGCCCCTGGGAATAAGCAGGGCCTCCCCCGGAAGGCAGGCAGGGCGGCAGCCAGCCCGCACCATGGGCTCGATCTGGCGACGATGGCGGCGGCGGCGGCGATGACGGCGACGAAGCGGCGGCGGCGGCGGCGGCGGCAAAGACGACGACGACGACGACGACGACGACGACGACGACGACGACGACGACGGCGACGACGGCAGCGGCGGCGACGGCGGCGACGAAGCGACGACAATAACGAGGCGGCGACGCCGACTTCTCGGTTCGTTTGTTTTGGGTGCGGCTGGCAGGGGGGCGGAAATCGAGGGAGGAGTCCGAGAGCGTTGGTTCTCGAGCGGATTGCGACGCAGCGGCGGCAGCGGCGACGAGGGCGAAGGCCAGGGCGAGAGAGTAGAGGAGGAGGAGGAGGAGGAGGAGGAGGAGAAGGAGGAGGATGAAGTGGAGGAGGAGGAGGAGGAGGAGGAGGAGGTCGGCGGCGTCGAGGAGGAGGCGGGAAGGGCAGCGGCTGCTCCCCAGAGGGCCAGCAGGCCAGCGGTGCGTGCCGTCGTGCCTTCGCCAGAGGACGACCTCGACGTCCACGGGGACCCGGACGACCACGACCAGCACGAAGACGTCCTCGACCACCACCACCACCACGGCCACGAGCTCGACGTCCACGAGCTCCACCAGCCGCACCTCGACGACGAGGATTGTTCCCACGACGATCGGCGGCGCGCCTTAGGGGGGAACTTGGCATCGCTCGGACGTGTGCATTTTTTCCTTCGGCGAGGGCCATCGAGGAGCATCCTTGATCATTTCGCGAAAAAAACACGCACGAAACCGAAAAAAAAGGGAATGGACGTCCGAGCGATGGCCAGGGAAGGCAGAGGGCGCGGGTCTTCTCAGAGTTCTCGGAGTGGGATAATTCTGGGCCTCCCAGATGGGGTCGGAGGATCGGGCCGCATCGCCGACGCATCGCCGATGCGGCTCGATGAGGAGCCCGCTCTGCTTCACGTCGACGTCGCCCGTGCATCGCCGGCGTCGAAGATGCATCGCCGGTGCATCACTGATACATCGCCGATGCATCACCGATGCCTCGCCGATGTATCGGCGATGCGGCGCGAGCCTCCGACCCCATCTACTCGGACCCCGTCTGTGAGGTCTCTAAGAACGCCCCGACTTTCTGAGAAGTTGTCTCTAAGCCTTCTCCAAAGCCACAGAGGTCTTCTCAGAAGGCTGGAGAGCTTCTGACAAAGATCCGGCGCGTTGGAGAAGGCTTGCCTCCTGTCACTCCCCCCTTCGGCGCAGTGCCGAAAAGAGCACGTGCGACGGGTGGCTTGGCAGTCTGCTCCAGAGCGGGTGGAGCTCTAAGGTGCTGCGTCGCGTCTTGCAAGGACTGTTCCCGTGTCCTTGTTCCACAGATCCTCCCAGACCGAGGGCTCGGCTCTTCCGCGTCGCCGGCACCCAGAGTTCTCGATGCATTCCTTGGGACAGCTTTTCTCGTGCCGCATGGAACGTGGGGGCCGCAAATGGCGACACATGTGTGGCGCGGCTGTGTCGAGCCGCCGTTTCTCCTGCCTCTGCGGCCGCCTTTTAGTCTGCTCCCCCCCTCTTGCATGCGGGACAATTCGCAACACCGCAGCCCAGGTTGCCTGGACCCGCGTGCGGATTACCTTTGCCGCGCTGCGATATTTTAACACAAAATATACAGACAGAAATACAGACAGACAGACAGACAGACAGACATAATACAGAAGACATGCATATGTGCCTACATACATCCATGCACACATATAGACACACATACATATACATACATTAAGTATCAGAAAAAATTATAGAATTAGAGATTGTCGAGCCGCCGGAGGCCCAGGGGCGCTGCTTCTGCACACTGGGCGCCTCTCCCCCGTGCCGACGAGTCCTTCGAAGGCTCGCCGCCGCTGCCGCCCCTGCCCGGCCCCACGCCCCTGCCCTGCGCCTCCCCCTCGAAGCTCGGCGCCGCCATCCGCGCAACACTGCCACGCCCAGCGCGCCGCCTGCGCACGCGAGTGCTCCGGTGCTGCGCAAGCCCAGGCCTGGGGTCGGCGTAGATGGGGTCGGAGGATCGTGCCGCATCGCCGATGCGGCTCGATGTGGGGCCCACTCATCTCCACGGCGACGTCGCCGATGCATCGCCGACGTCGCCAGTGCATCTCCGATGCATCTCCCATGTGTCAGCGACGCATCACCGGAGTATCGGCGATGCGGGGCGATTCTTCGATCCCATCTGCTCGGACCCCATCTAGGAGGCCTCTAGTAAGGGGGGCGGAGGGGCGGCGATAATTGGAGAGGGGAAGGAAGGAAGGTTCGAAGAAGAGAAAGTTGCATCAACATCAAAAATTGCGGCGCTCCGCGCGGATGTCTTGCATCGGCGCTGACCCCGCCTAGCGGCGCCTCCGGCGCCGCCCCTGGCGCGCTCGGCGCATCAGGGCGGGTGGTCCAGCGCCGATCCAAGAAGTCCGTGCGGAACTCCACAAGTTGATGTGCAAGAGTCTGCCATGTTGAGTCTCTGTATGTGCATATGTTGTTCGTGTTATTCGCACCCTTATTATAACTTCAGTTGTAACTACTTCAACGAATGTGCTACGACTCGTATTATTATTATTAAGTCAAGTACAACTACTACAACTACGACGACTACTACGAATACGACTACGACTACCACTATTTTTACTACTGCTGCTGCTGCAGCTGCTGCTGCTACTACTACTACTACTACTACTACTACGACGACTACTACTACTACTACTACTACGACTACGACGACGACTACTACTACTACTACTACGACTACTACTATTACTACTACTACTACTACTACTACTACTACTACTACTACTACTACTACTATTACTACTACTACTACTACTACTACTACTACTACTACTACTACTACTACTACTACTACTACTACGACCTACTACGACCTACTACGACCTACTACTATTACTACGACTACTACTACTACTACTACTATTACTACTACTACTACTACTACGACTACTACTACTAATAATAATATTACGGCTACTACTACTACTATTACTACTACTACAACTACTCCTACTACTACTACTACTACTACTACTACTACTACTACTACGGTTACTAATATTATTACTACTACTACTACTACTACTACTACGAATACTACGAATACTAGTACTAT